ATGCCAAAGATCAATTTATTGTACTGATTTTGAAATGCTGGATAAGTTCATTGGAACTGTCTTCTTTTTAGATGTGATGAATGTGAACTGTTCCCCATAGTGGGCCCCAGGTACAAATGTCAAAAATGTCCCAGTTATGACATGTGTGAAAACTGCTTCCGAATCAAGAAACACAAACACAGTCATGTCTTCATCAAAATATCGGAACCAGGTAAGAATCTTTGAAAGTAATATAAGATCATTTTTTGTTTAAGATGAGCAGAAAATAAAGAGAGTAGAGTTTATCATGAGAGCTTCACGGGTTGCATGGTGGGTCAAAAGGATGTCATCTGAATTGTCTGTTCTGTAGATTGTGAGCCGTCTTTTGCTGGTAAGGCAGGCAAACAGAGGAGAAAGTTTGGGGTCATGTCCTCCAGATCCACCATTGATGACTGGCACACCTGTGTCAAGGCCATCACTGTGTCATCGCGAGAAAATCAGGCTCACAGACTCATCAATGGAAACAATGGCTACTGGCAGAGTTCAGGGTCACAGGGCAAGGTGAGAGGTTAGAGGGTCAGATCAGGGTCACAGACTTATCAATGACTCTTTGCAGAGTTTAAGGTCATGGCAGAGTTATGGGGGTAAGATCAAGGTCACAGACTCATCAATGAATACACTGAATATTGATGAAGTTCAGGGTCACATAACAAGGTAAGAGGTTAAGATGTTAAGGCCAGGCTTGTAGACCTATCACTGGGAACAAGGCTATTGGCAGAATTTGGGGAGGTTAGAGGGTAAGTGTTGTGAGAAAAGTGAGCATTATACAAAGAAGAGTTGCTTTTTACTTCAGATCACACTCTTACTGCGGTCTTGTACTTTTACATGTATGCAACACTGCACAAATTTATGTGTTTCCACCTGAGGAAACCTAGCAAAATGTTAAACAAAAATGTCACATTCATTTTATAAATTATTCTAAAATTTGGGATAAAAGCAGTCATATGAACAGATAAATCATGTTATATTTCCTCTTTGTTAGCACTGGATCCGACTGGAGATGCAGCCAGACATCCTTTTACATCGACTCTACATGAAAGTGGAGCCTTCTGACTCCAGCTACATGCCAAGTTTGGTGGTGATCAGTGCAGGAGATACACTAAACTCCATGAGAGAAATCCGTGCAGTCAATATCACATCATCCGAGTCTATCGTGACACTTCTACAGGACCTTAATGACGTGAGTCTTGAGTTTCAATTTCTACAAAAAAAAAATATTAAATAAAATTCAACTCTTTATCTTTTTAAGGAGGATCTCTACACCTGTAAAGTATAACTCATTTTTGTTGCATGCATTTGTTTCTATTAATAGGCCCCATATCCGATAACATAAGGATCCAAAGTACTTCAATTTATTTTTTTAGAAATATTTGAAATATTTTATTTATTTTGTTAAAATCCCTCCTATCTATATTTTTAAAAGCCCAGTGCTTTAAATTTCTCTTCAGAGTTTAGTGCTATAAAATATTGAAATAATAACCAATAAAGATAAAAATAAAATCAACATAATTTTTATTTAAATTTACAAAAATAGACAAAAGAAAAACTAAAACAGCATTTTCTTGAGAATAGCTGGTTGGATCCTCTTCAATATCTGAAAAGGTATATAATGTAATATGTAAAAACAATAAAAAAAGAATTTGAAAAAAATTGAAAAACTGTCAAAAATTTATAAACATCACAAAAAATCAGGTGTGAGAGATCCGCTTTAAGAGTGGACTCAAATATCTTGGTACTGTTTTTTTTTATATATAAACTTCAAATAAACTCTACTTGCACAAGTATTAAACAAATGTCACGCAAGGACATTGAAAGAAGTTTGTATTGTACATGTATTGTTTTTCAATGAGTTTAAGCAAAAATCATCGCATTGCCAGTCAATGACAAAGACATGTATTTAGTGAATTCAAGGTATTGAGAAAGGTAGATTTACTTACAGTTTTTATCCAACTTGCATGTGTTATCCAGTGCTATATATAACAAAACAAGTTAAGATGGTAAATGGCCAAAAGCGGTAAAAGAAATTCCTATAACCAAATGCACACTTCGTCTAAAACCTGCACGTTTCCCCTACTTGTAAACAGCTGACAATCAATGGTGATCAAACGTTTGGGTCATGCGAAATTTCACCGGGTATAACCATTCATTCAAGTGTATACAAATCGAGAACAGAGTATCCTCTAGTCGATGGGAAGATAATACATATGCCCTACAATGAAGCGCATTGAAGTGGTAAAATTTTCCGTTCGAATGGAACGTGTTGAGCTATTGTTAGAATGTTTATTGTCATCTTATGACACGCCCATTTCTTTAGAAATGGATAAAACTGTCAATTTGTTTATTCGAATACCTGTAGAACAGGTTTTCCATAAATATAATAGCCAATCAAATTGATGGTCTAAATAAACACCGAGTAAACACATGTTCGACCGAAACATTTGTTGTCGTACAGTGAGGTTGCCAATAACGAATCGCACCCGTTAACGAATCACTTTCAGATGAAGATTCTGTATTTTTCTTATCAAAGTCCAATACTTAGCTTAACCTACCCTGTCATGCTGAATTATTCTTGCTTTTATCATATATCATGAAATTATTAAATTCAACTCGTTTAATGTCCTAATTTTTAAATACACATGAACAAGCTTTTTTGTGACGCTGACCAGAAGCGTATATGCAAGCAGACTACTTTCACTTTTCGGTACCGCTCCAATGTGAATCGTACAGTCTAGGTAAACAAATTTGGTGCAGATGTTTAATAAAATTATGTGTCTAAAAGCACTGAAAGCGTCATACAATTTCTAAATCAGAAATTAATAGTATTCGCTTTAAAGTTGGGGGTACTTAGGTTTCCAATAACGAATCACTGTTTCAAGAAATATGAGATGCAGGGATCCTGTCCAAATTATAATTTTTCGTATGCGGTTTTTTGCACACCAGTTACAGTAAAAAAAAAAACAAAAAACAGAAGATGTCTACCAAAAGCGTACAAACAATAAAGGTGGTTAAAATACACATAAACAAAATCAGCAGTCAAAATCAGTAAGAAGTACAGAGCATGTGGATTCGATAATGTCTCCCGGTGGTATATGTGCATGTAAGCTAATGTGAAGACATCGACGATAGCCAAATAAAAATCGTCATGATCACCAAACAAAATTAAGATTTAGAAATTTTATTTATTTATCCCTTTGCAATTTAAACTTCCCTACTAAATCATTATTTCCAACAATACCCCGTTTGCAGTTTTCCTATTCCCTAAAAAATTATTTCCAATAATAAATTTTTATTTCTTGTCATGATCAATATCAAGCTCGTATAATATAAAATGCATATTGCTAACAATACTTTTTCAATTCAACATCAAGCTAAATAAATTATAAACAGAGTATTATGATACCCCCCCCCCCTTTTTTTCAACATATACTAGTTAGTAAACATATGATTTAAATTATATATTGAGAAAATGATATGCAGACTGCAGCCTTTTGCCTATATGGAATATATGCCACCACTGTCTTCACGTAAAAGGGAGAAAGAGCACTATGAAAGCAGCTAGAGGAGAATGAGCTGTCTTAAGTGAAAGGACAACCTCCAGTATTTAATAAATCGGAATACTGGTGTTTAGTCTACTGTGGGTATTGGAATAGAGAAATCCAGCAAATGAATCCCAACATCATTATTTGTAAAGTTGTCTCTGCTCATTGGAGGAAATTTAGGTGTTGGGTCTCGACATTTTGAAAATATAATTGTTCCTTTCAGCTTTAGGTATCTCTGAAGCCAGGCTCGTAGGAAGCAATTTCAGTTGGTAGGTAAGGGGGGGGGGTGGGGGTGCAGAGCCATACATTTTCAGCTGAGGAGGCACTATCAACCACCAAAATTCCTTGACAATCAATTAATCAAGCATAAAAAGGTCATCTGACGTTGTTTGTTTTTTTTTTTTTTGAGGGGGCACAATCATATATCTAGCGATATATTTTCTATCTAAATAGCGACAAAATTATGGGGAGGGGGTGTGGTAGCTCAATGAGTACAATTTTTGAATCAAAAATTAATTCTTCGGCTGTTTGCAGTTCATCATGCACATATAAGTTTTTACGTCCTCTTATATCAACTAGTCATTTGTTTTCCCTATGATTTCATTGCTGTTGTTTTTACATTAATTGTCGGATGCAAACAACTCAAAAAATTCCTAGCTTTTCTACTTTTTTGGGTGGTGGGTGGGGTTTGAAATATTTTAAGGCATAGTAAAACGTTACGTAATAAGGGTATTTTTAAATTTACACGGTCCCGAACCAGAATAATCAGCTTTATGTCACGTGATTCGGTAATGGAGAAAATGATCCGGTAAAGGAGAAAACATCGTTAACACAAGTACAGCGATAATTTTTTATTTAATCAGTGGTTATTGGGGAAATATATATGATGTTATAAGTAAAACATAGTACCACCAAACAATGTTGTAAAATGAATTTAACTCAAACTCAGGTACGAAATATCCAAGCAAATTTACTAAGTGATTCGATAACGGCAACCTCACTGTAACTTCAATAGACATGATAAGTTAAAAAATATGTACATATTTGTTGCAATTTATGTTTTACAAAAGCGGGGAGTCTCTAACTCTCTCTTCTTATTTTTTCAAGCTCCATTTCAGTGTAACTCATATTGCTTGTCGCGAAGATTGGGGTGTCCTAAAACATTATGACGAATATTTCTTTCTTGTTTCTAAAAACATACATGTTAACTCTCCCGATTTAGGCGGGAGTCTACCGCTTTTTCACTCCATCTCCCGCCTACCGATTTAATTCAGAAATCTACCGCTTTTCTACAAAAGCTGCGTCTAAAGTATTTTTGGTTCGCTTGGGTATCCATTTTTGAAGCCACTCTCATAAAATCTCGCTAGATATCGCGTGATTTGACTCGGAATCATACAAACGCTTTTTTTGTACATAGATTTCAAGCACGGATTTGACAACGACAACAACATAAGACTACCAGTGATTACATTGGTTACGATAAATTAATCAACATCCCTGCCATGAAAAAGGAGATACAGCTTTTAAGAATGAGATGAAAACATTTGACATCGTCTTTAAAAGCACAGAAGCTCACAACTTTATCAATAAAGTCAATAGAAATCACTCGATTGACCAAGCCATGTGGCATATCTCTACTTTCGTTTTCGATGATCGCGGGAAATCTGATTTATATAACGAAAGATACGAACTTGTTTTAGATCTCTGGATTAAACCATGCCATCATTTGTTTTGTTTAAAAACTGAATGAACATTCAGAATTATTGCTTCTAGGCTATTTCAGCAAAGATCTCTCTTCAAAAGGCTAAGTAAAGCAGCCAATCCAAGCAAAATGATGAGCATGAAAAATAATTGAATTTGTACAATTTATGTCAAACTTAAGGTGTTTCTGTCTTCTTCTTTGCTGTTGATATTTAAGATTAATTAGTGTGGTTACCTGATTTCATTTAAGGCTTATAATATACATGTATATTACATGAAAGATATCGATAATCCAAGCGTTAAACAACACGCGCGCAATGCTACCGCTTTTGAGGTCTGAATCTCCCTCTTTTTCATCACAATAGGTTAACATGTATGCTAAAAATATGGGCATGTCATTACGAGGGTATGTTGTAATTGACGTTCAAAACATGACTCAGAACATTTCGTCCAAACAGAAAATTTTACCACTTCAATGCGCTTCATTGTATCTTATCAAATTTGCATTTATGGGGGGATATATTTTGCTAAAAAGCATATATGCTTATTGGAGAA